GATTGGTTAAAAGCAACAACAAAAACTATCCATGATTTCTGCATCAGGAGAGAGCCTCTGCCCTCCCCTTCTCAGGGAGCGTCTCCACAACTAGCCCCCTACCTTCGACCTTCTGTCCACGAAGTCAGGCTCTGTGATGTTTTGCAGCCTGCGTTTTTTTCAGTTGGCTTGATTGTTTTAAGGATAAAAACGATTTCCCTTTCTAGCTTTTCCCCACATTGCAGATTTATCTTCTTGAAACACGAACGGGGCTCTCGCTGCCTGGTGGCGCCCTGCCTTGGCAGGGGCTGCTCGCCCGCCTCTCGCAGTTCGCCGCTGCCCCACCCGCCCTGCGGCCTCAGACACTCTGTCCCTTGGGGCTCTCTACGGCGAACCCGGTTTTTGCTCTAATGGCATTCATTTCCCCTGAGGATTACAGTCTGAAAACCAGCAATCTGCCACCTGTCTTTCTAGACCAGGCTCAAATGTCACCTTCATCTTGATTTCCTGTACTCCCCCGCCAACCTCGCCATCCCCCGCTTGATGCTCCGGGAACACCACACACATCCCACCTTCAGAGCATTTCTACGGCACCTAAGCGCCCCAGTGTGCACAGAACACTGTGGGAGTGTTTTGGGGTCAGAGGCGCCCCTTGCATGTATGCCCCACTCTGAGATCCTGGCACAGGGTAGGTGGAAATGGAAGGGGACCGTGATTATGATCACTGTCATCCAAATGTTTGTTAAAATGCACGTGCGGCCCTGGCCGGTTTGGCTCAGTGGTTAAAGCATCAGCCTGTGGACCAGAGAGTCCCGGGTTCGGTTCCCGCTATGGGCACGTACCTTGGTTGCAGTTCGTCCCCGGCCCCTGTTGGGGTTGTGCGGGTGGCAACCACTCGATGTGTCTCTCTCACATCAATGTTTCTCTCTCTCTCTTCCCCCCTCTCTCCCTCCCGCTCTGTCTGAAGATAAATGCAAAAATGTCCTCAGGTGAGGATAAAAAAAAAACAAAATGCACGTGTGAATGGTTGAGTGCAGACTAGGAGAGACTGCAAATGCAGAAGCTGTGAAGCCCTGATTGACTCCGGGAAAACCGATGCTGTGGATAATTTAATTTTATGGTGGAAGGAGGATTATTTCGGGAAAATTTGTCAATACACACGAAGGCTTGCCCCTGTCGGCTCCTCTGGTCCCCTCAATGCACCTCTGGCAGATGCACTGAATGGGGGACCTGATGGGTGATTTCTCCCCGAGGCCCACCTGTTTCCATCGGCCTGCGTTATGCCAAGCTGTTTCCTTTCGGGCTCTCAATAAACAACACTTGCTGCCTGGGGCCCAGACAGACTATTCCTGAAGGCTGTGGTTCCAATTCAAAGGAGGGGTGTTAAACCTTGTGCATATTTATTTCCATTCCTGGACCACTGGACCGAGGAGAAGGCCTGGCTCCCTGCCCGAGGCTGGGCTCCCTGGAGGCAGAGGCTGTGACAGAGGTGGGGTGTAGCATGTGTATTAGGGGTGGCCACCTGTGAAGGGAAGGGGCGTGAGGAGCAATGGCCGAGGGAGGGGGAAACCTGCCATCTCACAGCCCCTCGACCAACCCCGCAGAGGGCTCTGCAGTGAGGGGTGCCCGTCACCCTTCTCTCCCCACTTGGCTGAGTCACCAGGGAAACACATCACCTGGTCAAGGCGGCCCAGAGGAGCTGGCAGCTGGAGGCTGTCTGCCAACCTGACCCCCACCCATGGGCAGCAAGTCCGTCCTCAGTGGGGTCCAGGCAGTGACACCTTCCTATTTACCCCACTCCCCGTGCCCAAGCGACCACCATGCGCCATCATTTCTTGCTCCACAGAGTCTCTCACACCTGCCTGTTTCTGCACCCCACTTGCCAGCACCTTCATGAAGGCTCTCACCTTTTCTCTCTGGTTACTGAAACAGCGTCACGGCTGTTTTCCCGTACCCCATTCTGTCCTCTGCTGCCACGTGGCCAGAGAGACCTTACAGACATCCGATCACCTCCCTGCCTGGCTCAGGGCTGCCTCGTCTTCCTGGTAAAGTTCCCACAGCCCCATCTGCAGTACAATGTGTGCACTGTGCTCGCCCCCCTCCAGCCGTATCTGTCTCCCCCTCCCGGCCTGGTCCACCGCAGCTTATGTTCCAGTGTACTCGGCCCTTTCGGCAGCCTCCCGCCTTCCTTGGCCTTTGCTCAAGATGCTACCTCTGCTAAGAAACCCACCTGTGGTCCTCCAGCAAACGACTGCAGCCCAGGGTCTGACTGCAAGCCCAGGGCTCCCTCTGCGCCTCGCCAGCCAAGGCTTCTTTCTAAGTTACTGTCACGGAGACGTAGGAAGTGTCCCACCCTGCTAATCCTCTTCTGTCTGGAACCTTTTTCTTCTTTCTTTTTTTTTTTAATGAAAATTACAATCTTTGATGTGTGGGAAGATTGGGGATGAAGGTGGAACCCTTCTTATTTAGACCTCTACGTGAACATGAACCCTTAAAAAAAATCTGAACCCAGAGGCATGCGTCGGAGATCTGGTAGGTTCCGTCCCAGACCTCCACACAAAGTGAGTGTTGTAGAAGGCGAGTCGTCATCTTTTTGCTAGTGGCAGGTCTTGCCTCCGCTTAGTAAAAAAACACAGCATCTGTGAAGATCTAGTGAGCGTGGGGTGGCTGTGGTGGGCACGGTTTCCAAGTGGTGCCACTTTTTAAACACACGTAACGTTTGTTTCAGAAATACTTCTCTTCACCTTCAGTCACCTAAACAAATTTTTTTGAATAGCTGCACCAAACTGTAATGGCGTGAATAAGAACACACGCAGGTTTGGTGTTAGAGTGGAATCCATGGACTGCACGACGATGGGAAATTCACTTTCCCTTGATAAATGTGACTTTCCTCATTCATCTGTGCAATGGGACAGTAATGGTACCCTTCACATAGGGTTATTGTGACAATGAAGTGAGAAAATGCTTGATATATCCTCAGCACAGTCCCGGGACAGACGTGCTCACTGAGTGGAATGCTGCCCGTCTGTGCTCTACGTGAGACAGAGTGACGTAACTAAGGTGGTGCCCAGAGCCAACTGTTCGCAGCTCAGGGCACTGTTTCCTTCCACGTTTCTGCTGACCTGGCATCCAAAGCAGACCAGAGGTTCTCCTTGCTTCCCATGCCAGCTTTGAGCATCCCCACCTTAGGGATCCAGTGGAAACGCAGCATGAGTGACATACGTAACTTAAAATATCCTAGTAGCCACATGAAAATAAAAATAGGTGAAATTAATGTTAATGTATATTATATAACCTAATAAATCAAGACTATTTCAACATGTAATTGATACAAAATTATTAGTGAGCTATTTTACGTTTATTTTTCTGTATTACGTTGGACATCTGGTGTATATTTTCCACTGATTACTTCTCAGTTCAGACACTACATTTCTATTGTAAGTACTTGATTTAGATTTCTGAAATTAACATTGAAAAGTAGATTTGTGTGCCCAGGTGGTTCCACGTGTACTTGAAACTTTTTAGTAGCTGAATTGTATATCAGTTTTTAAATTTAAAGTGAAATGAATTCAATGAAGTGAAAAACTTGGCTTTCTAGTCTCTCCAGCCACATTTTTGATGCTTGATCCACGGGTGCCCGGTGGCTGCCGTTACTGGATAATGATGCTGCAGACGCCTGTGCCGGGTTTAATCTTCCTCTTCCTTTTCTTAGCGAAACTTTACTGAAATTTAATTATAGAAAGAAACTCATTACCTAAAATGGATAAAACTGTGTTTTGGAGGTTTTTGTTTCTGATTAGAGGAGGCTAGTGAGCCACTCACCCTCTGCCTCCCTCGAACCCCACCTGCACTCCACCCCCACAAGTCCAGAAGCACCTCTGCCCATCGTTGGAGCTCCAGGGAAAAATTAACATGCAGAAGGTGTTGTAGCACCGAGCAAATTGCTGACTTCCCATTCAGAATCATAGCATCTTGGAGCTCAGAGGGATCTTAGCATATATCCGATCTACCCCCACCCCTCCTTGTGTTGCAGAAATACTTATAAATTCCTTGGCAGTGGACGAGGGCGTGCTCAGCCTCTGCTAAACACCTGGGAGCAGATGGATCTCTTCATTCTGTTCTGACTCACATGGTGTCCTGATCTCATCTCCCTAATTAGGTTGGGGGCAAGGACCGCCTTTTACAGCGCCACAGCGCCCACACAAAAGCAAGACAATCAATAAATTCTTAACTGAAGGCCCGACTGACTGCAGGAATCCAAGGTCACTTGAAATATCAGGGTCGCTGCATTACCCAACTCCAAAGAACACCATTCACGTTGTATTCCATGGTTGTGCAAGTGGCAACCTTGTAAAGTTTAGACTGGGCTTTCTTTTCCATCTCCGGAAAACTTAAGAAATTCTTTACTGGAGCAAAATGATTCTCTTCCCCATCCTCTGACAGGAAGCAGCTACATGAGTAAATTGTTTCAACCTTCTTGGGAATATACGTTCACCAGGGAGTGCGGATGGCTGTATGAACATGTGTGTGCATACATGCATGTCTGCGTGTGCGTGCATATCTGCGTGTGTGTGCATGTCTGTGTGTGCGTGCATGTCTGTGTGTGCGTGCATGTCTGTGTGTGCGTGCATGTCTGTGTGTGCGTGCATGTGTAAGCCATGCTGGTAGAGCTGCTTTGTTAGGAGGGAACTATTTGACCATTTGACTCTAGTCTTTAAGAGGCCACTGCAGAAATATTGTTTGGAATTTCCTATTAATGGAGTGTTTCTCCAGTTTGAAAGATGCCTCGCAGCTCCTGGCTTTGTAAAGCACCCCAGAGCATGATCCATAAGAAACAAGACCATATACCTGTCACCAAGTGAGCAAAGGGACTGTTTGTGGCTGCGTGGTTTCTATCCTCCTGAAGTTGAGGAAATGCAGAGGAAAGGGGAGGGGGCCGAGGGGTTCCGTTAAGAAAACCCTTTGTCTGCTTTTGTATTTTTCAAACTGACAGGTGTTTGTTTTCTCTCCTGTCTACCCAGGAAACCAAGTGCTGCCCCCTGGAGCTCCTCTTGGAAATGGGCTTACACCAGAGGCAGCGAAAGACCTTGGCCTTCCTGCTGGCATTGCGGTGGCAGCTTCACTGATCGATGCCCACGCGGGAGGCCTAGGTAATCATCTCTCACTCCATGTCCACGACCAGTGCTGTCTGCACGCACGTTATTGCCCAGAGCCTGAGACACTCTTTCCCTGTCCTTACCGCAAAGACCAAGGGCTGGTGGTTCAGGATGCAGTAATCAAAAGCCTTTTCACAGTGAGGCGTTTGGAAAGAATTATAGAACTTTTTATCAAATATAGAATTTATTTACAATTTTATTAGTTGGGTTGTTTGAGTGGTAGATAACAGTGATTAGAGACAAGGGTGTGTCTCTCCCTTTTCAGAATGAGCCGTCTGTGCTTTCGATCGCAATGCCATGATTTTGGTGTCTAAGGCCAGGCACAGACAACTAGTGGTGTAGGTAGGTTCCTGGCCCCTGGGAACACTCCGTCGTGTCTGAGGCCAGGCGAGCTTTCTCCACATGCTGTTCCGCTTTCCCCGGGCGACAGTCCCAGTCATCCACCCGCCCGGGGCCGAGCCCTTGGCTTCAGCCATCTGGGGCTGAAAGAGGGCTGCACCTGGGGGAGCTTGGGACTCCGTGTCCCTGTCGGTTTCGCGGACCTCCCTCAGGGAGGAACTGTCGTGCCTTCTCACTGTCCAGGACTCACGGTGCCCCCCAGGCTGCTTGCTGTGTGGCGCCGGGAACTTCTGGACATTCCCAGAGTGTTGGGCAAATTGGACTGGGAGACCCCAGGCCACTAAATGACCCTACTCTTTTCCTAAGTCCGCGAAAGACACTTTACCCTTAGAAGTTCTGGCTATGTCTTTTTTTCCCCTTTAAAATACAAATACTCTTAGCCCGGCCAGTGTGGCTCAGTGGTTGAGCGTTGATCCAGGTACCAGGATGTCACTGGTTTGATTCCTAGTCAGGGCACATGCCCAGGCTGTGGGCCAGGTTCCCAGTGGGGGCATGCAGGAGGCGGCCAATCGATGTTCTCTCTCATCGATGTTTCTATCTCTTTCTCCTTCTTTCTTCCTCTCTCTAAAATCGATAAAGAAAAAAAAATTTTAAATACAAATACTCTTAAATTAGCAAGGTTCCTTTATATTTCCCAAAAGTAAGTTGTTGAGGTGGAAGGACAGAAGAAGGACTTTGGATTCTCAACGGGCTGAGCTTGGGGGCCAGCAGTGGCTGGAAGGGCACAGGAAAGGGATTCTCAGTGACTGAGGGCAGTAAAGACCTACTTCACCATTGTGACCAAGTTTTATCCTTCTTATCCTTCCTCCTACTTCCCCCTCGCCCCCTCATCCAACAGCCACTCGGGATTTCACGTCTGGGAAGGCGAGGAGGCCTGGGGGTGAACACTCCTTCCCCTTTCTTATCCTGCCTCCGCCCCCACCAGGATGGGGAGACCAGAGCCCTGAAAGGCTTGAAAAGGGTGTCCACCTAGGTGACCACTAGTCACTGAGTCACTGAGTGTCTGCAGACCTGGCAGTTGCTGGTCGGGACCCTGGGGATGATCAGCCATGAGCACAGCAGACAAAGCCCCGCTCTTCTTGTAGAGAACATTCTGCTGTGCCCCTCCTGGCTGCGTGCTTGTAGCTCATTGGAGATGCTGTGAAAAGGGCTCTGGATATGGAGTCTGTATTTGGATAGAAATTCCTGCTCTTCCTACCTGTGTACCTTGGGCCCGATGTCATCCCTCCTCAGACGCCTGTTTCCTCTTCTGCAGGAAGAGAGAGCAGTGGCCCCTCACAGGGCTGTTAGAGACCCCGTGATGTCAGTAGGGAAAGCGGCTGGCACAGCCTCTGCCACATCGTCGGCATATAACCCCGAGGTATCTCTTCGGTTTTCTTACTCCAGAGCCACAATGCCTGACACAAAGGGGGAGCTTTGTAGGTGGGGGTTCTCTGAGTTACTGCCCTGGAGAACTCTCTGCCCTTTGGAGAGGCAGTTGGAAAAGAACTTCAGGCTTCTGGATTCGTCTGCCTTCCCCGGCGCGGCCGTGACGTCCCTTCCCCGGCTCGGCCGTGGCGCCCCTTCCCCGGCGCGGCCGTGAAGTCCCTTCCCCGGCGCAGCCGTGACACCCCTTCCCCGGCGCGGCCGTGAAGTCCCTTCCCCGGCTCTCTGTAACAGGACACAGGGTTCAGTGCTTTAAGATGCTGTATATTTTGAGGTCAGAAACAACCTCAAGAAATGGTTAGATGAGCTCCATGCTGAGAGATTGCTGAATGTTGGGGTGCGAATCCAGCTTTGGAGGTCAGAAGTGGATGCCATCCAGGCTTCACACAAACAAGCCCTGACAGTTAGGGTTCCTTCAGGTGTGGCCTGGCATGGCCTCCTTGGACCCCGCATTCTGACTCGTGGGGGGGGGGCGGCGGCACTCTGCTGTGGAGAAATCCTCCTGGACTCTCCTTCTCTAGAGGATCAAGATCAAAGCAGCAAGTAAAACTCAGCTCATGGTTTTTCCAGTTCTGGAAAAAAGAAGAGGAAGGACTTTGTGGGAATACAAACCGAAGATAAAAGAACATTTTGTTCTGAAGGTGCTGGTTAGTAAGCTCCACAGACAGACAGAAGATAGGAGTAGCTTTGTTTGCTCCTTGTGGGGGTGGTTCTGGCCAGGGCTCCTGCTGCTGATATTTTTCTAGCTTATAAAAATAGTGTGAACTTTGCTCCAGGTCTGTTCTTGGCTCCAGCACCCGAGCTGTCCTGAAAGGCAGTAACAACTGATAGATAGATAATTGGGACTTCAGCTTCTCAGTCAGTGATTTTAGTCCCCTGCCCTCACTCCCAGGGGAAATCTGCAATGTCTGGAGATGTTTTGAGATTGTCATGGCTGGAGAGAGGGGAACAGTTCTGACACGCAGTGGGCAGAGGCCAGGGATGCTGCTGAACAGCCTGCAGGCTCAGGACAGCCCACAGCGAAGGCTTGTCCAGCCCCACATGTCGGTCGTGCTAAAGATGAGAAACAAGTCTAAACCTTCATGTCTCCATTGGTATCATTTCCCTTCATCACTTGAGTTGATTTCTGTAGAAGCCAAAAAGCAGCCCAAAATAAGGGTTCTGCTAATATATTAGTACTTTGTCAGCATGTATTTTGTGAAATTAACTCTTCGGTGAAAAGAGTTGTGAGATAAGAAAGTAGAAGTGAAGACTGGAATAGAGAGAACAGGGTGATTCCCACCCCATCTGTCTTCCTAAGGATCGAGCCACATGGGACCACTTGTCCTTTCAACACATCATGCGCAATCCCTGCTCTGCTCAAGCCGTCCGCTCGGTTTGGGGCCCTTCCCTCCTCTCCCCACCTAGACAACCCTACTCATGCGTCAGCGCTCACTCTAACTATTACTCCACTATGGAAATTTCTCCAAACTGAGCCCGGCTGGTGTTGCTCAGTGGTTGAGCATCGACCCATGCACCAAGAGGTCGCCAGTTCGATTCCTGGTCAGGGCACATGCCCAGGTTGTGGGCCAGATCCCCAGTGGGGGGCATGCAGGAGGCAGCCAATCGATGTTCTCTCTCATCACTGTTTCTATCTCGCTCTCCCTCTCCCTTCCTCTCTCTCTCAAAGCAATAAAGAAAAAAAATAAAAAGTCTCCAAACGGAACCCTACTCTTAGAATGACTCCCTCCCTCCTCTGTTTCTGCAACGCTTTGCACCTATTTCAGTTTTCCCACCAAATCGTGTTCACCTCTGTGTGCTCCTCGTCCAGCATAGAACCCAGAGTCAGTCCTCAGGAAATCAGAGAATTAAGATAATAAACGTGAGAGGATTTTGAAAGCTCAGAAACAAGGATTGCTGAATTTAGATGTGGGAGCCCTTACAAAGTCCAGATTTCTAGGCACCCGCCTCCCTGAGGAATCTAGTTATGAAGGGGAAGAGGGCCCCTGGTACCCAGAGGAGACAGCCTTTGGGACAAGTTGGCACCGGGCACACGTGTCAGAAGCAGTAGTGATGTGCAGCTGCTGGGCAGACGCATCAGACCCAACCAGAGCTGTGCTGAGGAGCGAGGCCCACGCTCTGGCCACGAGCTGGGGCAGGAGGGAGCGGATCCAACAAGGAAAGAGAAGGTGGATCCAAAGCGGCAGACGGTCTGTTGGGAGTAGGGGGGGGGGATTAGAAGAGCAGATAAAGTCCTGCCAGGGAGTCTGGGAGGAGAAAAGTGGTGTCAGTGCCTGAGCAGATAGAGCAAGGACAGTTCCAGGAGTTCGGGTGCAGATCAGAAGGGGGAGGAGGATTTTGTTCATGTGATTTTGAGTTTATCGTTTTGAGGTTCAGCTTAATGAGAACCACCACTGCGAGAGCCCCGAGCCGCTGCGTGAGCTTGGCGAGGGGCAGAGAGGAGGTGTGTGGGAGGAGAGCTCTGGCTTTCCCGTGCCCAGGCCCCTGGCGTTCCTGGAGATGTGGGCTTGTCTGGACTGCGAGGACTGGCCCGCGCCAGGCGGCCAGCGTCGACTCCGTGGTCAGAAAGCTGGGAAGAGTCAGGGCCTCCCCGTCCTACTCATCTCTCAGTCCTGTACCCAGGGAACAGCTGCGCACCTGCCCTGGATGGTAATGTCTGTTGCTCGACCCAGTCTTCTGCCTGGAGGCTGTGTGATCTTAGGCTCTAGAGCTAAAAGCTGCACAAAGACTTTCTGTACCAGATTCTTCCATTTGCAGATGAGAAGACTGAGGCCCAGGAAACACAGTGGCTCGTCCAAGTTACCCCAGCAAATTACAGTCAGAACTGAAGTTGGAAACTGGGCGTCCTCATTCATCAGCCAGGGCCCCACCGCCATGATGTTGCACTGTCTCCAGATTAGGAAAAGGGGACGATTCCAGGAGTCCGAGCTCTGTTGGTCATGTGAAATGAAACCAGGTCTATTAAACCAGGCTGGCTGTTTTTACTGTGGAGTAGGGAGACCAGTACTATTAAAGTTGATAGTGATTAACATTGACAGTAATCTCATCTGTGTGGTGACTTGCCATCTTGAATGGTTGAGTAAACTGACACCCAGGAGGTAAAGGGATTCGCCTAAACCTCCAGCATCAGGAAGGGTTGGATCAAGGCTCCAGCCCTGATCTTGGTGCCT